TGCACCGAGGGCATCGCGTGGAACGTCGTGGCCGAGCCGTTGAGGGTCGACGACGTCACGTACCGCGCCGCCAAGAAGGTGATGAAGTTCAACTCGCGGTACACGCAGAACGTGCCCGGGCAGAGGAACTTGTTGGAGAACTCGAGGGTCATGCTCAATGCCATGTCCCCGTGAGAGAGGGCATTGGCCGGGAAGGGGGGTTAATTACAGGCTACAACTAGACCGATCCGGGGATCACCTGACTCTTGGGCCAGAGGGGTAGGCGAATTTTAGAGATGTCGAGGAAGCAACGATGTTTGGGGTGCGTATGGGTTGTTCCATCTGGTTGTGCGTATTTCTTGGGGTTGGGTGGCTCATGATGTGGATCTCACGGGGACGGAGTTTTGGCTCAATTGGCGTTTATGAGGGGTGCTTTTACGTATGGACTTGCATACAGATGTGGGAAATTACATGAGCAGGAGGGAGGTTGGTGAGCATACACATTGTACGGATACACATGGGTGGTCACACAAATACGGAGAAAGACGGATCGATGTGGTGAGAGGTTAGAGTGTATGTAAGCAGATACATGTATAGCGTACAGATCTCACAACACAATCTACGCACGTCAGGGTTCACATTTCTCGGCATGGAAGAGAAACAGGGTTCCAAAAGATAAGAGCAGTCATTGCGAAACTTGTACGTATTACGTTGTATTCTAATGAGTAAAATTGAACTCCATGGCAACTTTCCTTAACCGCCTTTCGAGCACCTGTGATTATCGTCCACGGATTCCGCGCTTCATGCAAGAGTAATGTTCTCAGAGACTCTGGTCGTAAACTTCTCAGAGACTTCTCTCCCCTTTTCCGAAAAGTTTGTCCCTCCTCCAAAACCCCCGGATTTGCGGCCAAGGCTTTGTCCGCCTTCTCCGTTGCATGACGAAGCAAAGCATATAGGCACATTGGCGGGGCGTCGTTTCTGGCCTTAGTAAGACCAAATCGTATCCGCATGCAGGTTGTGAAAGAAAAAGCAACGAACGACATGGACGGACGTTGACCGGAGCGATGTCACGCTCTTGGGCCCGTCTGGTTTTCGTCTTGGTTCCTTTCTCCGCAACACGGCGGCGGCGTACATGAAGCATCCCAACCCCGGACAGGTTGATAACTTGATGGAGTATCCGCATCGCAAGGGGGAAAAGAAGGGAAGCTGCTATCGTGCGAGTATCCGTAGGGTGATGAAAGGCCCAATTGCGAAGCGACGGAAGAGGTTGACGACGCCATCGTGTGATTGGTCACCCGCTTTGATGGCCCCTGGTCCGATTCAACGGTTTTCACTTGGCACAATTCAAGCTCTTTCTGCTACTCGTTGGCGCGAACTTTGCCAAGACATCGGAATGGAGATGTGAGAGGTTTGGCCAAAGGGATTGGGTACGCGGACTATGATGCCCATGTGGAGTGTAGAGTGGAGATGAAAATGGACCATTGACCCCCAAGTCTTGTCTTGCGTGACGTGACCGTGGAGGCGAGTGTGGGAGGTCGGGGCGCAACAACGATGAATGCAACTTTCCCAATGGGTCTCCTGAGTCTTGGCTCCTGGCATTGGCATGCACGTCTCGGCTATTCTTGCTTCCCCTCACCTCAACCTGCTGCATCTATCTTTCACTCTGCGGACTTTTGTTCTTGCAATGGGCAATGGAGCAAACATAGAACGAGGCAAGACAGAGATGGGCAGGGTAGGGAGATTGGAGAGCTGGGCATCGGAGGCCGAATTTTGCGGTTTCCCGCTTGGCGTCGGAAGCCGCGTGCCGGTTCCTTGGAGCTTTGTGGGGCACCACCGGTCTCGCCGATGCCTTGGCGGGGCTCTCGCGGTCCGATCGCGTGCGGCGACGGCGAAGGGACTGCGGGCTGCTGCCGACCAAGTTGGGGGTTGTTTTTTGGTATCGGTGCTTCATGTCAATTCCTGGAAAGGCCCTCGTGATGTACGACCTGGGGGTTTCCTCTCGAAACATTAACCACCTCAACTCGATGAACAACCTAGTCCCTCTTGAAGACGCTGCGGGCCATGTCCGTGAAAGAACGGCCGCCGAAGAGGAATTGCGAGCTGTGGCGCCCGCAGTGGGTGTAGACATTGACGGTCTGAGAGTGGGAAGACTTGCGCTTCGAGGGGCGCGGGCAGTCTGTAGAGACTGCTCTTCTGTGGGTGAAGGTCTCTGAGCCTGCCGAGATGGTGCTCGCGTCTGAGCCGGCGCGGCTGCTCTTGGGACGGGGAGCGTCGAAGTTGGGGGTGTTGAGGGAAGACATGATGTAAGAGGTTGATGTCTTTTGATGTTGGTATTTGTTTGTTTGTTGATCTGAAAGTAAATTCCTTCAATGAATAGATGAGTCAGTTGAAGATTGGATGATGATTGTACAATGCAATGATGGACTTGTCCAGACCGTGGGGGAGCCGTCCTTAAATGCTTGAAGGGCTCGTCATTGCTGGATACGGCTACACGGCGGTAGTTTCTTGGCTTCCTGCTTACGACCGCTTGGTCGGCATGGATTCACGAAGCCTGGTCTAAGAATGCTGTGCCCCGAGTGGCCGCTTGCCGACTTGGCCGGGTTGCCGGTCGATAGCAGCCCCACACAAGGGCCGGTCTGCTGGACACGGTTTACCCCATTGATGTGACGCCGCGACCGAATGCGAGCCGCGGAGTGCGTGAAGTGGGACTTGGCCTCGTAAGGCAACAGCTAATGCAGGTGCGCTCCCTTGTGTTCGTTCGCCATGACATGCTGCCGCATTTCGTAGCGTATCCGTAGTGTACAACGCCAATGGCTGTCTTTACGCGAGGATCTGCAAACTGGGCTGATCGTTTGGCGACGGCCTCAAAACTGGCGTGCTGACACAAGGGATAGGCTTAACTGTAAATTTTGAGGCCCCTCGAATATTCGCCGGAAGAAGCAATAATAGGTTTCCTTTCCCGTTGTCCAAGCCTCATAATCTGTCTCGCCAGAGCCTCGTTCACTCAAGCAAGAAACGAGGAAACGTGGGCGAGGTAACGGCCGCATATGCACGCATTGCATGGTTCGACCTCGTGACTATGAACGACTTCCCGGTGTTGGCGAATAGGACGGTATCTCGGCACGGGCAGCGTCGTCAGCTTGGTTGGTTTAGTCATACGCCGTACCGAAGTTCGGACGACGCCGATGGTTTAGCGCCGTTTGTGGCTCTCGGCGCCACGGCACGTGATGTTTGTTTATTTGGATGCCTGCTGAGTCGGGCGCACCGAGACTGTTCAGGCCGCAAGGCATAGATATAAGGTATCTATATCCACCACACCCGGGACCCCAACCAACCCAGAGAGAGTGACAAGAAAGTAACAACATAGGACGCCGGTCAATAAACGATTTTATTATTCCTAAATGTCTTGTTCTTTTGATGATTCCTCTTGCCTTTGATTCCGCTATCACTTTCATATTCTATATATCCATCAGAGATTACTCTTCGAAGAAGTAAAAGGAATACACATAACAGATGGGGTACGGATACATAGAGCGACGAACGATTATGTCAGCTACTTGAGTGACAAGCAACTTGCCAAGCCAGGGGCACCAGCCACGTTTCCCGGCCACGTTCCTGACCTTGGCGCCCGGAAGCTTAAGCCTGCGGGTTAGGTACCCCAGATTCGGAGCCGTAGGGCTGATGGAAGGGTCAACTTGGTGAAGCTTGAAATTGCACCGTCATTAAGAGAGTAATTATGAATAAAGTGGTCTTTTTCCGGTTCAGTGTTGCTGAAAATTGGATGAGTTGGTTGAGATACTCAGGCGACCCATACACCGAAAGTTGACACCACCAAACCCCGTCCTTTGTTGCCAAACAACAACTGATGCTCAGAGACGAGCATTTTGAGGCCCGAATGCGATGGAAAATTGAGATATGACATCATTGGCATTGATCGGTCATTGTTAGGCGCATCTATGCGCCGCGGCTTCTCGTTCCCCCAAAAACCGAGCAGGCTGGTCATGGCTGTCTGACTTGCGTTCCCATTGAGTGATAAGACGCAGTGACCCGAAGTTGCACTTCACTCAAGGGCTCTCAATGTCTCTCTTTCCAAATACCATAATGCGGTCGCGACAATGCGACAATTTGTGGTGGACACTCATCGCCGCCCACTTACCCCGGGCCCGACTTTTTTAACCTCTTGCGCCGAGGAGCACCGTCAATCCTTGCAAGATGATTGACATGCTTCAGACTTTCGACAGGAAGAGACGAACTTCTGTTGACAGAGCCGCTGACCGTGCTCGGCGAGCAACAACTTGAACAAACAGTCGAATTTCCTCATGTCCATTGAAGAGAATTCCAAAATGCAGATTCCATTCGAATTGAGGCCCCTCAACGAAGTCGGTTGGATTGAGGAAAGAATTGGGTCCACATCCCCCAAAGCGGAAGTCTCGTAGCCCGAGAGCGTCGAGCGCTCGGGCCATTTGTGGCTGGTGGGCGCTGCACGTGAGACCCACTCTACAGACTCTCGTCCTTCCTCGCCCGAGTGAATGGCGCGCAACTACGCGCTGTGGTGATTTTTCAGCGAATCCGACTTTATTATCACCAGGCGGTGTTTTCATTCCTCGCTGTGCATTATCGCCAGCGAAAACTGTCGTCGACATCCAGGCCGACTCGACTTTTTGCGATCGGATTGCTCAGAAGCCAATGGCGTTGTGCCGCGCAAACACCTTTGCCTAACGCCTCCATTGTTCTTGCACATCACTCTCCCTGAGCGCTAAGACACTGGTATGGCCTTCCTGCTTCCCTTCGTGTTATCAGTCGCTGCAATGAAGATTGGGATTGATCTGGTTTTCTTCTATTGGAGATTTCCTACAATTTTATCCTTGTTTGCATGTTTATGCTAATCATCAGTGTCCAGACCTTGGCTCGAGGTAGCTTAGCAGCAAGCAATAGCTTTCCCGGGCGTGCACAACACTCAAAGAACGTGATACCAACCCTTTCAACCACCACACATCGTCTAATTCCTCAATCGAGCCACAATGCCGTCGAAACGAAAGCGCGACATCGAGGATTTCGATCCTAACAAGTCGGATTCCGATGACGAGAACTTCGAGCCCGGCGCGGATGGCCCCCCCGTTCGCACCAAAAAGCGATCGCGCGGATCCAAGAGTCAAAGGAACGCCGGTGGCGGTGGAAGGCGCCGCAACAACCGCTATCGAGGATCCGACATTGAAGATGAAGACGATGATGACGTGTCTGATAGCCAAGACGAAGGCTCCTTCGTCTCTGAAGATGACGAAGAAGAAGAAGAGGTCATGCCTGTCAATGCAGCCGGTCGTAGGTCAAGAAAGGCCGCGACCAAGCACAATAGCTACAAAGAAAGCGAAGACGACGATTCCGACCCTGCCGAAGAGTCAGACGACGTGCTCTCTGAGGATTTGCCCAAGCCCAAGAAAAAGGACAGCTTAATGATCAAGCTCAAAGTGCCAAAGAATGCTTCGACGACCGCTCCCGGTGTTACTCGACGATCAACTCGTGCCCACACCGAGGAGTATGGCGAGGAGCACGTCGAACTCACCAATTCCGGCAAACATGGACGGCCTGCCTCTCGTTCTAGGAGCCCCGAGACCCTGGCCCGTACTCGATCTTCCCGCTCCATTAAGGGTTTGAAGAAGGGACCCGAGACAATTGAAGAGGCCACCCAAGAAAGCAGCGGTCCTCGGGAGGAAGATGTTGATGAATTGGCTGGCGATGCTGAGCAAGCCATTGAAGAAACCAAGGATGCCGAGATGGAGGATGTCAAAGAATCGACAGAAATCGTACAGGGAGACATCGTGGCCGAAGATGACGATGACGACGAAGACGAAGGTCCAATCGTCACGCGACGAACCAGGGCAAAGAGAGGAAGTGGCTCTGGGCCTGCTGAGCCCGCCGAACCGGAGGCTGATGCCGAAGGCGAAGCCGACGATGACGTCCCCAAACGATCTGGGCGCCTAACTCGTCGCAACGGGCTTCGGAAATCAAAATCTGTTCAAGAGCCAAGTAGCGATTTCGAGCCCGGCGAAGAGTCAGCAGGGGAGGAAGATCGCATGTCTGAGTCGCCCAAGAAGGATTCCGGCGACGGTGACGACGGCGATTTCGACAGCCCGGCTCCGCGCGGTAGGGCCGCCAAGCCAAAGGGTCGATCCACCCGGAGCTCGCGCCGTGGCGCCGAGTCAGCCGAGGAAGTCGAGCTAGACCAAGACGAGTTGGCCGAAGAGCTCCACGAGCTAAGGCAGGACTCCCGCTCGCGGCGTCCACGACGACCTTCACCCGCCATCATCTATCAAGAAACAGCATCCAAGCGACGCAGAGCCGCCGCGAAGCCCATGAACTACTTCATGCCACCCCTCTCTGCCGTAAACATTGAGGAAGATGACGGCGAAGATCCAGCCCCGACTCCTGCACGTCGTCGCGGTGGCCGTGGGGGTGCAAGTCAAGCTTGGGATCGCGCCCTCAACACAACATTCGGACCTTTTGGAGGCGGAGGCGGTGCCGGGTCACTCCTTGGCGGGCCTTGGGGTTCCGGAATGGCCGCAGGAGGTGTCGACTCGGACAGCAGTGACGATGAAATGGGCCAACGATCAGGGCCTGCTGCAGGAAATGTTGGCATGACGCCCACATCGGCCGCCGCTCCAGCTGGACTTCTTCCTGGCCTTGCGCAACCTTTGGGTGGAGAGGGTGGCGTGGGGGCAGCACCCAACGTTGGCAAGATCAAGAACCAGAAGGCTTTGGCAGATGCCGATCCTCTTGGTGTCGATCTTACTGTGGACTTCAATCACGTCGGCGGTCTTCAAGGTCACATCGATCAGCTGAAGGAAATGGTCCAGCTCCCTCTTCTATACCCCGAGCTGTTCCAGAGATTCCACGTCACGCCACCTCGAGGTGTTCTTTTCCACGGTCCACCCGGTACTGGTAAGACTCTGCTTGCTAGAGCCCTTGCCAATTCCGTGGGCGTCGGTGGGCGCAAGATCACTTTTTACATGAGAAAGGGAGCCGATGCTCTGAGCAAATGGGTTGGTGAAGCAGAGAAGCAGCTGCGTCTGCTCTTTGAGGAAGCGAGAAGAACGCAGCCTAGTATCATTTTCTTCGATGAAATTGATGGTTTGGCTCCGGTGCGCTCCAGCAAGCAGGAGCAGATTCACGCTTCCATCGTCTCAACACTCCTGGCCCTGATGGACGGTATGGACGGCCGCGGACAGGTTATTGTAATCGGCGCCACCAATCGTCCTGACAACATCGACCCCGCTCTCAGACGACCCGGACGATTCGATCGAGAGTTCTACTTCCCACTCCCAGACGTGGCCGGTCGACGGTCCATTCTTGAGATCCACACCAAGGACTGGGGTCTCTCAGAGCCATTCAAGCAACAGCTCGCCGAAAACACCAAGGGCTATGGTGGTGCCGATCTCCGTGCTCTCTGCACGGAGGCTGCTCTCAACTCCATTCAGAGGACATACCCGCAGGTCTACTCGTCAAAAGACAAGCTCATCGTCAATCCTGACAAGATCAACATCCACGCGACGGATTTCATGCTGTCGATAAAGAAGATGATTCCGTCATCTGAGAGATCCGCCGGCACAGGCGCTTCTCCTTTGCCCAAGGGGATCGAGCCACTGCTTAGAGACCAGTTCACATCGATCAAGAGGGCTCTGGACGATGTTTTGCCTCGTAAGAAGAAGCTGACAGCGTTGGAAGAAGCCATGTTCGAGCAATTCGAGGATGAGGACCACGGCTTTGGTAGAGAAGCTCTGCACCAAGAGTTTGAGCGGTCTAGAATCTTCCGCCCGCGATTCCTGATCCACGGGTTTTCGGGCATGGGCCAGAGCTACTTGTCCTCTGCCCTGCTGCACTACTTCGAAGGTGTACACGTTCAGAACTTTGGGCTTCCCAACTTACTGGCTGACGGACGGGTAGGTTCATTCCCATCCCATTCATGCCTACATTGCTAACATCTCGCAGCCCATGGAACAGGTCATTGTCAGTTTGTTCACTGAAGTGAAGAGACATAAGCCAAGTGTCATCTACATCCCGAGCATCGAATCGTGGTATGCCGCTATGAGAGACACACTACCATTCATCACATTCAAGAACATGCTCAAGTCTATACCGCCTACGGATCCCATTCTGGTGCTTGCCACGGCTGAGTATGAAGCTGGGGAGGACCTGTCGCCCGAGCTCGTCCGGGAGCTATTTGCCTTTTCCCGCAAAAACCGATTGCAGATCCAGCGGCCGAAGCATGTAAGTACAACAGATGAAGGTTTGCGGGAATCTCTTGGCTAATCTTACTAGTCAAACCGGCGGGAATACTTTGCTTCCATTGTCGACCATATTCGCAAGAGTCCAGCTGACTTCCCTGATCCTGCCAACCGTAAGAAGAGAGTCTTGGAGGAGCTCCCCGTTGCTCCGCCGCCGCCACCGAAAGTACCCACCAAGGAAGAGATCAAGGCCATGCAGAAACGCGACCACCAGTTGCTCAATATCTTGAAGGTGCAACTACAGCCAATTATGGACCAGATTAACAGGAAATACAAGAAGTTCAGACAGCCCGTCCTTACCCCCGGTCAGCTGGATTACCTCTTCCTCGAAAAGGATCCCAACTATGTACGCCCCGACGTAGCGGGCATAGAGCATCGGCCTTTTGAGATCGTAAAGGACAAGTACGATGTTGACGTGCTACGCGAGACAATTTCTGGCAAGACTTTCTACAATCTCGAGACGACAACCATTGAGGAGAGGTTATCGAACGGTTTTTACTGTCGACCAAAAGACTTCCTTCGGGACATCAAATCGCTTGCCAAAGATGCCAAGAACATTGGCGACAAAGAGCGGACGCTCAAGGCAAACGAGCTTGTCAGCAATGTCGAAGTCGACGTCGCTACGATTGAGGGCAACACCAGCACTGTGGACTGGGAGGCGTTGCACCAGAGACAGCTTCAACGCGCCAAGGTCCAAGCTGAGAAGGCGAGGAAGAAGAAAGCGCTTCAGTCTGTTCTCGACCGAGTTCAAGGCGATGTGGGTGGCGGTAATGACAGCGACTCACAAGGGCCGGTTACTCTGGGCGAGCAGATTCCTGGGTCTGGTCATGCCATGGCTCGTTTCCAGGTCATGAGCCCGGGACCGAGTGGCGGCGTGGGATCCCATCAGCAAAGCAATGGCACATCCAACCCTTCTCGGCAGAGCGACGTGCACATGAGCGGCGTGGACGACGACACGACTCAGGACAGCTCCATGCAGCCACCGGCTCAATGGCCGCCTCAAGGAAACGCGACAACTGGGGCCACACAGGTATCCCAAAGATCTGTTATCACCACAGTGCCCCCCGGCATGTCGCCTTCTGCGATTGTGAACGACGCTTCCACCACCAAGACGTCAGATCCATCGGACAGATCGACAGACAAGTGGAGCACGCAAGCGACAGGACCGACAAACGGGTTCCATCCAGATCAATCCAGCCAAGGCGACAATTCGCAGCTGCAAGATACCCAAATCCCTGCTGGCATGGATTCTGTGAGCCAGGCAACTTCTAGCGACGCAGCTTGGCCACACTCCCAAGCCCATGGCATGGCGCGAGGGATCATTCACCCGCCCGGCAGTCAGACATCGTCTCCTAACAAGTCTAGGAGCTCAGGAGACTCGAAGCACGCCATGCCCTTGGTCAATATTCTCAATGACTCAACAAGCGAAGACATTAGGAACTCTGGTTCGTCATCTTCGCAGCAGCAGCCCGTCATCCACGAGGGCCAAGTCGAGCAATTCCTGGACGAGTTGACGGAGAGAACATCGGGCTGCACTATTGAGCAGTTGGAGCAGATCAACCGCGAGCTCATGGACGAGATCTGGAACACGAGGCATGAGTGGAACCGTATGAAGGTGCTCGGCGACCTGACCAACGTGTTCAATGAGACCATTAGCGACATTGAGAGCATCCAGGGCTTGTTCCAGCAGAGCCAGCAAGCATGAAAGGGGGGACATGCGTAGCCGAACAGCAAATGCTCCCCACGACTTGTATCATAGCACGTTTCCTTTGAATTACTTTTGATTTCCCCCGCTATCTTAAGTCTTTTTTCTTTCCGGCATCCATGGCGGAAAACAGGTTGACGATGGAAGGGGTTGATTGGCTGGGTTGGAGGCGGGAGGGGAGGGCAACCGGCAATGGTCTAATTTGTGAGCGACGGGACGACCCCCTTTTTCTTGTGATAAAGTGCATTATATCGAGAATTCACCGCATCCTACTCTGTGTAGCATGGGGTAGGCAATAGACAAAATTGCATTGCACTATGTTATCCTGAAGAAGCTTTTCTGTGCATGTCTCGACGATCGTGAAGAGGATAATGGCACGGCTGGGTCAATCTCTCTGGCTCGAGAGCTTGTATTCATACGTTGACAACGCTCCATGCCTTTAATTTCGACGCCACAGTTACATAACGTAATCATGTCTCTCTCGGGAAATCGTTATATTTCTACTCAAGATAGCTTACCCAACGTACTCCCTCCATTTCAAAGCCTCGCTTTGGCGCTATCATACCTCTTCCCCTCGTCGTCCTGCTCCTTGACGCGCAGATCGGGCAGTTCCGCGGGCATGATTCTCCGTGGCTCGGCTCCGGGAACGAGAGAGTACTTTGAAAAGTCCGTGACGCCGGCGTGGTCCCGCAAGAAGTCTTCGTCGAGGACGAGCTCGCCGTTGACTTTTGCCGCGGGCGCGCGCAGGATCTCGAGGATGGCGTCGGAGAAGATTGTGGGCTTGCGCAGGTCCTTTGATTCGTCGGCGTTTGCGGCTTGGAATTTTTGGGTTGCTGCGGATTCGATGGCCTATGATGGACTTTTGTTAGTTTACGGGGTTCAATGTATGTTGAACATGGCTGAAGACATCAGACTCATGTGTCGAACATTAATGAGACCAAGAAGCATGCTTTCCTTCCAAGAAGAAGATTACAAAAAGAAAAAAATAGAGGAAAAAAGGCAACATACCGCGGCGGGCCAGATACTCGTAATGGCCATGTCATCCAACCCCTGCCGGACGAGGTCCATGGCCAGGCCCTTCGTTAGGACGCTCATGCCGACCTTTCCCATGGCGTAGGCCGTCTTGCCTCGGAAGAAGCGGCTGTAGATGGGCGGACTGACGACGACGATGCGGCCGCGGCGCTGGCATTTCAGGTGCGGGAGCGCGGCGTGGAGGGTTAGGTAGAGGCCCTCTGGGTTCACGCGCTGCATGAGCTGGAAGCGTTTGGGGGGCGTGTCTTCGACCGAGGCCCACCAGATTGCGCCCGAGTTGTAGACAAGTACGTCGAGGCGGGCGTAGATCTGGGGGAGGAGGAGGAGGTTTATGTCAGTGGGTGTCACTTGTGGAAGGACTGCGAGGTGAAGAACGGGTCACTGTTGGTACAACGAGGAGAATTCTGATGGATGGATACCTTGATCGTCTGTTCGATCAGCCGTGCGACGCTGTCTTGGTCTCGGACGTCGACGGCGATGGGCGTTGCGTCGCCGCCGGCCTCGTGGATTTCGCGGGCTACCGTGCTGATGGTTGAATCATTTGAGTTGGGATTCGGTGGGAAAGGATTGGCCTTGGACGCATCGCTGGTGGTCTTTGCAGCAACGACGACTGATAATAAGCGTAAGCTACTCGATCCTTTGAATGGAGAAGACAGGAGGAATTGGCAGTACCTGCATAACCATTCTTCGCGAGTTCAATGGCGATTTGTCGACCTATGCCTCTTGAGGCACCGACTACTAAGGCTACCTGCTTGGCTTCGCCCATTGTGTGTGTATAAGCTGAGAAGAATGAAGTGTGTGATCTTCTCTACGTGTGGGATGTGACCGGGGGATTCTCAAGCATGTGAGGTGATGACAAGTATTTCAAATATGATGTTTTATCAAGTCATAGAATCCACGTCAACTTAGATATCGTAGCGCAACACAGTATATATGCCTTGAGTTGCGCAAGGTAATGTGAGACCTCGTACACATGCCGTCGGGGCTCGGTACGTGAACGTGTATTAGTGATCCTCCCCGATTGAGCTTGAAGCTAAGAGACTGGAGCTTTATCCGTACCCCAGACACCCACTGGCTTGTGCCGAGGTTCCCCACACCATCCACCTCAAGTCCACTTCATCAACTTGTCTTGATCAACCTCTGTTCAACATCTACTACAAAGATTGCGCCATCGGGTGTGCGACGGAGATTATTACGTTCTTGTCCGTCAATAAGCCCGAATAGCAAACATCACTATAACTTTTGTGTCCGAGTACCGCTAAGATGGGCGGCAAGATTGATGCTTACATAGACATTGGTGAGTCTCACAGTGTACCAGGTATTCCAAGGAACGAAGCGCTTTACTGATGATAGTCGTCAGCATCGCTGTATAGTTATATCGCCTTCACTCATATTATCAACAACCAGGAACTTCTCGCAGCTCATGGAGTCCAAATAGAGTTCGTCGCCTTGGCCTCAAATGACATTCACAGACACTGACCACCATACCCCATCAGGATTCACCCTGTTCTCCTTGGCGCCATCAATGCCGCTTCAGGTATATTCATCCAAGTGTCTTAGAAATGTGATAATAATCCAACTCACTCATCTTGCAGGAAACAAACCGCCATGGACACTCCCAGCCAAGGCAGAGTACGGCACCTTTGACGCCCGCCGCTCCTCCGCCCGAGCAGGCAAGCCCGGCATCACCACGCCGGAAAGCTTCATGGAGCGAAGCATGACAGTCGGTCCCCTCCGCGCCCTGCACTTCATCAAAGCAAACTATCCCGACGCCACGTACCAGACGGCATGGCACTGGTTCCTCCACTGCTTCTGGGAGCCGCCCAATCTCAACCTCACGAAGCCCGACGTCCTGGCCAAGGTGGTTGCCGACGCGCCAAAGAAGTACCCGCCGCCCGCCAGCGGCGGCAAAACGCAGGAGAAATTGTTCAGCGAGGCGGACGTCAAGAAGATCTTGCAAGGAGCCGGATCGCAGGAGATCAAGGACTCGGTCAAGGCTAAGACGCAGGAGGCGATTGATCATGGTGCGTTTGGCGCGCCGTGGTTCTGGGTTGTGAATGAGCATGGCAAGGGCGAGCCGTTTTTCGGGAGCGATAGGTTTCACTTCATTTACGAGTACCTGGGCGTCCCTTACCAGGACATTGCCATCTTGCCGCCTGGAGGCAAGGCGGCTGCGAAGCTATAGTCTGGTCCTGTATAAGTTATGTCTGTAATTTGTTTAGGGGGTATCTCTTTCTGTTATCTCCATGAATAAAACGCCGAACCGTATCCAATACCCAAGACCACCGTGAAGCCACGTAAGGTGAAGAACAACAACACAACAACGCAAAAAGGGGTTTCACTGCACACGGCCAGCCATCCTCGCCCGCCGCGCATCGTCTTCCCTCTTGGCCTCACTACGCGCCAGGAAATCCTGCCTCTCGGCGTACGACCCCTTGGCCCTGCCCGCCAGCTCGAGTTCGTCCTTGAGCCCTTCCTTGTCCACGAACCCGGCCCAGTCCATCTTGCTCTTCTGCACCGTGTTGAGCTTCTTGGCCTGCGCCTCCTTCTCCCTCGCCTTGATCCGCACCGTCATGCCGAGGTTCAGATCCGAGCGCTGGCTGACAATCTCAATGACGGGCTCAAAGGCCGAGCGGAACGCCTTCTTGAGGACGCGTTTCGGTTCACCACCCTCGTTGTCCGCGTCCGCGTCCGCTGTTTCCGCGACGGCGGCGGCGTCCTTGCCGAGGGAGGCGAGATAGAGCTTTGCTTCGGCCGAGGAGCGCGCTACGACTTTTTCTTCGGTGTGGACTTTGCCTGCAAAGTTGTAGGTTCGCTTGATGCGGATCGTGTCTGATGGGTCGCCTGCCTGGGCTTCGTCCGGCTTGCTCGTGTCAGGCGCCGCGGCGATGGGCGTGGCATCGGCTTCTACTCCGCCTCCGGTCTCGTTCTCGCCGGTTGGTGCTGCTGTCGCCTTCTGACCGGAGAGCATTTGTGCCCAGAGGACATCGACGTCGACCGTTACAGGGCCAGATGCGGCCGCGACTTTGCGCTCTTCTTTTCTGTGACACAAATTGTCAGTGACACTGAAATAAGATCATACGAGAGATGGCCGTGTCTCTAACTCACTCTGCAGCCCGCATGCTCCGCGTCTTCACCAACCCTCCTTCGCCTCCCTCGTCATCAACGCCTAGGGCCAGGGCAGCGGCCGCATCCCTCGCTGCCTTTTTGAGCTTCTTTTTCGCTGCCTTCTTAATCAGGGCCTCATCACCCGAGTTTTCAAAGTCTGCAGCCTCGTCGCCGCCGGCATCGCGCTTGCGCTTGGTCATTGTCTTTGCTGCGTCTTCGCCGTCGTCGGCTTCAGAGTCGGACGCTTCTGAGGCGCCATCGTCGGCTGCGGCTGCGTCTTCAGGCGCAAAGTCCGAGTCCTGGGAGGACTCGTACTCTTCATCGTCTATGGTCGGATCGGGAGGCATATTTTGAGGTTATGGTGGGGGTTGACGTGGGTTTTGAGGAAGTCGAGAGGCGCGTTTGAGCAAGTGACTTCCACGGCTGAGAAAGTTCGGTCGGCTGTTATCGGCGCAATCGTGACCGAAGGCGCTCGGTGAAGGGTGGTCTGTGTCCAATCAGAGGGCATTACCCCCACCATCCATCACCTACTGCCATATTCCTCGACGCCCTTGGTTTTATCCGGTTGAAAGCATCATTGACACAGTGTACCTATACCGTTATTTTCAGTAGAAGAGCAAGTGGGTGACAGAATCGATTTCCGCTCGAACACATCTGACAAAGCAATTCCCACCGCTAATATCACTAGTGCTACTATCTGTGAGATACAGTATATTCTTCTATGTATACAAGAAGGGTAATGATGTGAGAAGGGTAGTAATTCTGATATGAGTAGTAAGATGGGTACTTTTCCAAGACGTATGAGAGGAAATCCATTTTATCACCCACTTGGGGAGGCCGGACTCCGGCTCCATAAAATC